CATCTAGTGAAGTAGTTTATATCAATGAAGAATATGTGTTTTCCAAAATTATTCTTCCTATCACCTGCCTAATTGTTAAAAATCAAAGCTAAACAGAAAAAACATGGTTTAGGGCCCTGGTTGGTGCAGCTTTCCACTAAACTTGTGCCTCGGTGGAGCAGGCAGTTTCCACGGTGATTGAGGCCCTACAGAGTCATCCTGCCTAAAACAGTCCTTACAATTCTCTGTCACGGTGCCTGAGACCCCCACCATTAACTGCCCCTTCTAGCTAAGGCACCTTCGTCACATACACCTATGTTCTTTGGGAGGACTTCCTCATCTGCCTTGTGCTGAAGTTTGAGAACTGCAGCTCCAAGCATTAGCAAACACATCAAGACCAATAAACATCTTTCTGTCCACAGACGAGCTACCCCTACTTCTTTAGATCAATTGTTCCTAGAAGTTCAGGAGCATGACAGTCACTTGCAGGCTTATGAAAACAGATTGCCAGGCCCACCCTCAGAGTTGCCGATTCAGTAGGTCAGAGCGGGGACCTGAGGACTTTGCAGCTCGAAAGAGTCCCCAGGTGAAGCTGCTGGCTGCTGTGCTGGGACCTCACATCGAGAACCACTGTGCTAGTTTTTAAGGCGTCCTAATGAGATATGGAGGCCAAGTGTGGAAGCATTCTTCCCAGGAGCGAAGGAGGAAGACAGAGAGCTATAAAGTTAAAAGGGGCGAAGGCTCAAAAGCAGGCCAGCCCAGCAGAACACTCAAACTTGCTCGAATGATCCACCAAAATCCAAGAACCTTTGCCCCAATTCTGTTGGGGCCCTTACTCTTCCTTTCTTTCCTGGCCATTTTCTGTCTCCTGCCTCCCCCAAAACGCAGGTCTGCAGGCTGGATCTTGGCAGCCCGGCAAGGACTCCGTGGCAGGAGGAGAGGTGGCCCTTCCTGGGGGAAGCATTCACACAGCTAACTAGGCTGCCAGCGTGCTCCTCAGGCCCTCTGCATGCTCTGAAGGGCGTTGCTGACATTTCCTAGACTTTGCACAGCACTGCTGAAATCTTAATGACATTTTTTTTTCCTCTTTGGAGATCATCTACTTCCAAATAGCATAAATTCCGAGGAAAATATGCTCTGATCCTTCAGCGGCCTCTTCTCAACACAAACAAGGAACTAATTAGCCTGCCAGGCAGGTGGGAAGAAAGGGGTTCATCACAGGGACACACGCTGGGAAGCCCTCTCAGGTAGAGCCTTATGACTCCCCGATTGGCCATAGTGTCAGGAGCTGAGTCCACATCTCAGAGGAGGGGAAACTGAGGTCTGGGTGTCTGCCTGGTACAGCCATGGCATGTCCGGGGGCAAAGTTCTGTTCGGGATTTAGCCCTTGGTGCATCTGAAAGCACTCTGACATCTACACTTTTTCATTTGGCTCTAACAAGAATCCTGTGAAATAAGCAGAACGAGAATGACCATCCCCATTCGGCAGATAAGAAAACTGAGAAGTGAGGCTCAGAAAAAGGTGGACGTGGAGTCAAAACTCATGCTCAGCCGCCCATCGGGTGGCTTTGATGAGCGGGGCTCTGCCCCTTTCACTTTTGTCCCCCATGAAGTGAAGGGGATGGACAAGAAGACTGTGAGGTTTTTTTTACAGATCTCTTATTCTAGGAATAAACCGAATAAGGAAAAGAACTTGCCCAAGTTCACGCGATTAGTGAAGTGAGTAATCGTAACGGAGACCGGTGTTTCCAGACTGCCTCTGTTGAAAGAAACCATCAGAGCATGCCCCACTGCCAGCTCCCCGAATGTGGGCTGCAGGGGCCTCTAACTGCCCTCTGGAACCCGCCAAGACTAAGACCCCTAGAGCTGGTGTGCAGAGGGACACCCTCCCCATGCGTCCTGCCTGTCACTTGGAGCCCCAATGCTGCCAGTTGCTCATTAGAGAAGAGAAGGCCATTTCCTTTGGCATCTCCTTCCCGAAACAACAATGGGCACCTACCCATGTCAGGCCCTGTGCCAGTGAGGACACGTGGACGCAGAGGAGACAGACTGTCCGCTCATGAGGGAGACGGGGAGAGTGAGAACCAGGCTGCTGCTTGCAGGGCAGGAGTCAGGATGCAGAAACCTTTAGGAGGGGTGAAGCTTGGAGCACTCTGCTTGTAGACACCATCCTCAAGCACACCGGAGAGAGCAGATGCACGTGGCAGATGCACATGTCTGACCCCAGCCCCTCCACCGTCTGGGAGAATTGTGTGCTCTGAGAGTCAACCCTTCTAACCACAGGGAATCAATGAGCCCAGCAGCTTCCTATCTACCATGTGCTGGGAGATGACGCTTCCATTTGTTCGACACCATCAATGAGTCAGCTGAAGGCCACGTCTCAGGCACAGTGGTGCCGCATCTCGGACTCTGCGAGGACACCAAGATAAACGAGAGATGGCCTCAAGAAGCCAGGGACTCTCAGCCCAGGAAAGCACAACTTCGTAGGCACAGATGCCCCTAGGGCACAGCAGAGAATGATCAGTGTTGAAGACACAGGTTATGGGATGGGGAGGAGTGCCATGAGAACGCAGAGGAAGGAAAGATGAATTCCACCCCAGAATCCAGAAAGACCTGCCCCCCAGGACGTGGGAAGGCCCCAGTGCCAGAGCCCCACCCTGCCACAGCCCCCCGGGGAAGCTCGAGAAAGCCAGTTCTCTCTGTTGTAAAACGGACTGTTTGCCCTACGCGCCTCATGGCATTATGAGGATTAAATGAGAACTGATTTAAATGCACATTGGATAAATAAAAGCACCAAATATAAAGGTTTTTCGTCATCACTGGGGGAAGAAAGGGCAGAAAGATAAAAGCAGAAAGCGTGTGAGGGAGGAAGCCGGGTTGGGGTGGGTGGTGCCTGGCGCCTGCCAAATACTGGGGGGCGCAGGGTGATGTGAGCACCTAGTGGGCTCGTAACTGCCTCCGATGGTTTCTCTAACCTCCCACAGCTCATTTTATTGCAGAGAGCCAGAATATCTAAATTCCTCCGCATGGGGAAAACGAAAGGCCCAACCAGGCAAGTGGCTTCCCAGCCCTGAGTGACTGGGTAACCACCCCCAGCCCAGCCCTCATGATTGGCTCCGGGGTCCCATGGCTGGGTCCGGCTCCCAGCACCCGGCCTGGGCTTGGTGTGTGCTCATCAAGCACCCATGGGATGAATGGGTGTCGTCCTTACCGCTTTCCCCGGAATTTTACATCCATGGTGCATTTTGATTCTTAACCACAAGCCAGACAAGGCTGTCAAAGATGGGAAACCAAGGCTCCCAGGGGGTGAATGACCATCCACATCCAAGCTAGCACTGTCAGAAGGAAGCCCAGACCCCCGACACCACCCCTGAATAATTATTACCGCAGTCAATCTTTGCTATCACAAACCATCCTCCCTGACTTTACCGAGGGCCTACTATGTGCTGGTCTAAGTTCTTTGCCGGTAACCCTTCACTGACTCAGACCTTTTCATCATATAATATTATCATTCCCAAATGTACAGGCTTCTTCCGCTGCAGAAGGTGGTTTCTGTGGATCCCAGATTAAGTGGGCTGTGGATTTCCTGAGTCTCTTTACCACATTAAGGACGGATTTGGGTGAAAACCTTTGGTTCAGTTGTTTGGAGTCACTGCTCCTTAGAAAAGAGAGAAAGACGACACAGCTCAGGGTATTAGGGAAGGCAGAAGGGTGCCATTTTTCCATTTGTTTGATTTTACCATGGACATTCCTGCCTACGGAGTCGGCTGTCAGTTTTGACAGATGGCCTGGCTGCAGGAGGGACAGAGGGCAAGTTCATGGTTAAGGTGAATAAATAAACGTGTGGCACCAAGGAGCCAGAGCCAGCTAGGCTGATTTGGGGTCTGACACCTGGGCCGGAGCCCCAGGTGCAGCCAGTGAGGGTGGGACAGAGCGCCCTGCCTCTTGTTCCCCTCGACACCCGCCCCCTGCAGCTGTGCCAGGCAGAGCAGTACGTTTCTGTGCAGGGTGGTGCGGGAGAGGGGGACAAGCTCAGGGACAAACCCAACCACGCTCAAGGCCAGGGCCACCCCCACCCCATGACCCACCCCAGGCCCTTGGCTGATAATAGCTCACCGTGTACCCATTTCCTAGGAGACCTTTATATTCTCACAAATAATCTTATAGTCCAAAGGTTTTGCCATGAGGCTGGAAACCACACCCACTCTGTTGAGGGCTGCCTGGGGACAGGCTTATGCTGAGGGGCTCAGAGGCACCCCTAAAGTGGCAGGAACCTGGGTCAGGGGAGGAACAGAATGTCAGAGGACTCCCAGCTTCTGAAGAGAGGAGTGGAGCAGGCGAGAGGGGATCTGGGCCCTTGAGAACAGGCCAGTGTGACTTTTGTCTCCGCCAGAGTGGCCCGGTCAGCTCTGACACTTGCAGTTGGTGGAACATTTAGCACCCACCATGTGGGGGGGGGGGTCCTGATGGCATCATCCTGACACCCATGGCTTTCATACCACACTGAGGGGCGAGGGCATCAGGGGACCCAAGAGGGCTGAGTCACTAGCTGGAGGATTAGTTTACCCAATTAACCTTCTGTGCCCACTGTCCACTGAGAGAAAGACACAGACAGTGGGTCAGCGTGGATGGGAGGCGGCGGCGCAAGGAGCCAGAGCATGAAGCTGTTGGCAGGAAGCTGGGACGAGAGGATGCTAGAGGCAACTCTCCAACCACACAGTTTAAAGCCATAGAATCTAGAGCCAGAAGAAACTCTAGAGATCACCCAACCTTCACTTGTACATCCCAGAGTTATTGGTCATGGCTATGTGGCAAAGCCAAGGTCAAGAACCTGATCTCTCCCCCACACACAACCCCCAACAACAACTTCTCCGGCCAGTGATATTTCTAGCACCCTCCAGCCTCCCCCCAATATTGATCCCAGTCCCCTGATAACCACGGAGCTAGGAATGCCCTCTGGAACACTGAGCATTCCTGGGCATTCCATGGACCGCCGGCACCCATCGTCCGGCCAAACATACCTTATGCGAGTAATGCTGATCAACGATCCTTGCCAGCCCAAAATCCCCGATCTTGAGCACGAGGTCCTCCGTGCTGATGAAGATGTTGGCGGGCTTCAGGTCCCTGTGCAGCACGTTGGCGGAGTGGATGTATTTGAGCCCGCGGAGCAGCTGGTACATGAAGAGCTTGGCGTGCTCCTCGGTGAGCGTGCCCTGCTCCAGCAGGCGTGCCAGGTCGGTCTCCATGTACTCCTGGACGATGTAAGCCACACTGAACTTGAACAGCTCGCCCTGCAGGTCGGTGCCCTTGGGCCCCAGCACCTCGTACACCTTGACGATGTTGTCGTGGTCCAGGCGACGGATGATCTTGATCTCCCGGAGCGCGTGCTTCATGCTGCGGGCGTCACTTAGAGCGATCTTCTTCACGGCCACCTTGCGGCAAGCCTGGCTGTCCACAGCCGACAGCACCAGCCCGTTGACACCAAAGCCCAGGGGCTGGAAGTCCACGAAGCGCCCACCGAGGTCATAACCGTAGACACTGGCAATGCAGTCGCCCTTCTCGGCCATTGTTGGCTCAGTGGTCTGGGGCTGCCCGTGTGACGAAGGGGCAGTCAGGAAAGGCCAGGTCCCAGCTAGTGGCCTCCCCGGCACACCTCATTCTGTCAAGTCCCACAGCGGAGGGATGCTTTTTCTCTGGGTGCGGTCACTGCCACCAGCTCCCTGGAGACAGGAATGGCATATGTCCACGCTCACTGTGCTGCCTAAAGTGGAGGCTCAGGCTGCTTTCTTAACCTGCATCGGGAGGGATGTTGCCCAATGTCTGTGCTTCCTGAACCCTGCTTGAAGCTTAGAATGGCTCATACTTCTTTAAAATCTTGCATCTTGGAAAGAAAAACCAGCATCATTATCTATGGGAACTGCAAAGTTTTCTGCCATAATGGCCCTCAAAGTAAAAGATGCAGAAACTCTCCCCTTTAAATACTTTGTTACAAAAGGTTCTTTCTGGCTGAAATGCAAGAGCTGTTTGCCAAGCTGCTGTGTTCTTTAAGATGGTCCAAAGCCCAGTTGTATCACAGCCTCTGTGTTCCTGTCAATGGATTCTGGAGGCTTCTGGAGGCTTCTTTCTACCTCTGCAGCTCCTTTCTACCTGCTCGCCTTAGATTCTGAAACCCGAGCCAGTGTGGTAAGCAAGCATTGCTGAAAACAGCTGGCAAAACCCAAGCACCTTTCATGCACTTGACACCGAGTTACACCTGAGGTCCCAGGTCCCGGAGGAGCTCAGCTGCCAGGCCAGGATCCTCTGGAGGCTTCACGTGTGGGCAGCATCCTCTTTCACTCACTCACCCACGACTCCGCCACCGAGACTGCATTCCGCTGCACCCGGAGAGGACGAAGGAACGTGGCATCTTGCAGACCAAAAGTCTCCTTCCCTGTCAAAGAAATAACGCTGGGTAAATTTCCACGTTCCAGCTTCCAACACCTTCCCACTTGCGTCTTTTGTGAACCAGCCCAAGTGTTATTTGATCTGTCCAGCCAGCTGAAACACTGCTTGCTCAGGGGATTCCAGGCTTGCGCTGCCCAGCTACCCCTCCTGCTGCGTGCAGCGCGCCTCTGGAAGAGAGAGAAGACGGATTGATTTGATAAGACCATCAGATGGTGCGCCTTTTATGTCAGTGCCTGCTCCCCCAAGGTGAACACATGCAAATTACAGGGGGGGGCGGGGGGAGAGAATTATTCCTTCTGACCTTTGCAAAATTAATTTGTTATGCTCTCCAAACACTCTCGTCAGCCCTAGTTAGGAAGGGAGAGAGCAGAAAGTAGCTAGTTGCAGATAGAAAACAAAAGGATTGATACTCTTGTTTTTGCACTTGGGCCCATTTTCTTCCTTCTTTTGCAAATGTCTTTGAATATTTTAGGAGAGAATTTGCCAGGGACTGAGATTTATATCTCTTGCTTTTCGTGTAGGTGGCAGAAGGACACATACCAAATTACAAGGAAATTTTATTGCCACCCATAAAAAAGGGACTCTCTCTGCCCAGGAATCAGGGTGCAGACTTCCCAGCACCACACCAGGATTGGCATGGTGAACTGCATTCTTTTTGATGAGGAGGACCTAGCTCTTCAAAACTATGGGTGGAATCCAAGTTTCACCGTCCCTCTCAGTGGCTGTTGACTCAAATTACCGGTATAGGACCTAGGTGGGGAGGAAAAAAACCCTGCTAAACTAGCAATGTAAATTCAGGCCTCTGAAGGAAAGGCATTATCATAGCTTCTTGGTAAAGTCCACGGGCACACACAGAGAGAACACTGTATCCAGCACAAAGGAGCCCATCTCTCCGGGGCTGCTGCTTACTTCTCATCCTAACACAGGGCCTCCTGCTAAGACACTTCACTGTCTAAACTCTGCACAGTTCTGCAAATGATAAAGGAAGCAAAAACAGTAGTCAACTCAATGCTCTGAAATTAACAGGGCAAACTAGGGGACACAGATGATCTGAAATAGTAAACAATCTGATCCCCTTAAAGACTTCTAAGGAAAAAACTTTGCTAAGGGTCTAGAACATAGTAATCATCGCTCAACAGATGTTACCGGTTGTTGCTGTTTTTTTAGTTTTGTTTTTTATTTCAAAATTTTTACGGGGATGCAAACGTTTAGGTTACATATATTGCCTTTGCACCACCTGAGCCGCAGCTGCAAGCATGCCCATCCCAGACTGTGTGCACTGCGCCCATCAGGTGTGAATTTACCCATCCCCCTTCTCTCCCCGCCCATCTGCCCGACACCTGATGAATGTTGCTTCCATATGCGCACGTAAGTGTTGATCGATTAGTACCAATCTGACGGTGAGTACATGTGGTGCTTGTTTTTCCATTCTTGTGATACTTCGCTTAGTAGAATGGGCTCCAGCTCCATCCAGGATAATACAAGAGGTGCTGGATCACCATTGTTTTTTGTGGCTGAATAGTGCTCTATGGTATACATATACCACATTTTATTAATCCATTCATGTACTGATGTTTTTTAAACATTCCCTTACATTTGAATAAGATGTACTTACTATCCTGATAATTTGTCAGATCTTCAGCAATTCTACTCTGCATGTTTTTATTGGGTTCAGCGGCAAAACACTCACAGACTTACAGAATTTCAGAGTGTGAAGCAATCTTAGCGAGCAAGGCCCGTGGTCCTTAACTGAGGACGGTGCTTGACTACGACTCACTCCTGGCTGAGCATCCCCATTCATGAATAACTGGCATCCCACCCCTCTGCCCCCAAATGCCAAGAGCATTTCCACGGAGGAAGACTGATTCTGGTTCAAGTTCTCACTTTGCAAGTGAGGACACTGACTCTTCGAGAGCATTAGCTTAGTGCTTCCAGCAGAAACAGGTCAATACACACTTGATGAATGGATAAACAAACACCATTCCCTGTGAGGATGCCTCGCCACTTAGAGACAGTTCTGGCACTACCCACTGGGCCACTGTCTAGGGCCTGTGCTAGCAAAGTCCACCTGGATTCCTAACTTGGGCATCAAAGAGTCACTACAGTTCCTCATTCTGTCCCCCGCACCCCCAACTCGTGCTGCCCAAGCTGAGTAATGGGCAACTCAACTGAGCTTTTACTTTCTACCCATATGCCTGGTCTGGCTCCCAGGGCACAGCAAAGAGAGGCAATTGTATATTTTGCTTTATGAAGAGAGATGCTTAAGCCCTCTTCCCTTTCCAGCTCCCACTGGGTTGTCAGCGGAGACAGGAACGGGCGCCTGAGCAGAGAGGGGTGACGTCACAAGCAAGCTGAAAGCAGGATTTGTCCGAGATCAGCTGCAATGCAGATGATCTTGAATAATTAAGAAGTGCTTTATTTTTAAAGCTCTTTCCTGTTCCTCTCACGTGTGGGAGGGACTGTCTCCCCACGTGTATGTCTTTCTCAGTGGTCTCCCCAACATGCTGTCAGCGTTGGCGGGCAAGTGCCACGTCAACGTGGGAAGGCTGGGTTCCAGCCACCCCACCTTCCTCCCGGCCTCCACACAGACTCTCCATTCCCGCCTCGCTGCCCTCCTTGTGCCTTCCCAGTTCCTGAAACGCTCTCCCGAGTCCTCCACGCTTGTTGACGTCCTGCCTGGCATTCAGAATCCAAATTCTTGCTTTCTCTCCGAAGCGTCCATCCCAGTTCTCAGTGACATTTCTCCTTTTTCTAAGCTCCTGCGGCCGTCGTGTATACGGTGTTTGATGCTCACCATATACTAGAGTGGGCTGCTAGTTAACCTGTTATGTCCATCTCCCAACTAGACTGTAAGCTTCCCCAGTCCAGGCAGCAACATGGTGCACAGAAAATAACTGGATTGGAAAGACCCGAGTGCCATTTATTCTGTCTACAAAATTGCAATGTCCACACTACCTAGATGGTCAACTGTCCCTTGCTGTGCGTGGTGCCCCAGTGCAGCCTGTTCAACAGGGCTCTTCTCACAATAAGCCCCAACCACTCAGACAAACCAATCTTTCTGAAGTTCAACGCCTAGTATCATCTGATTAGATGCTGCCTGTCTTGCAATTTCAACGATCTAACCAGGCAGCCCTTGTTTGACTCTGGTCCCATCTGAGTTTACTATTAGTTATCTCTTCTCAAATCTCTTCATTTTCTGTTTCTTTCTCCAATTCCTCTATTAATATAATTTCTATTGTAAAACCTCTGCCTTTTTGTATAGGTGAACTCATTTGCAAAGCACTGACCATCTGAGAAGTCTCAGGTTAGTTGTCCATTTCTTGCATGATATACTGAGAGGCAGGAGCCCATCAACCTTGGAGAGGGACAGACTGGCATCTGGATGTGCCCACCTGGGCAGTGGAGTGGGGACGGCAGCTCTTGGCATGATGCAGCTTCTCTGGGCAAAGCCTGACCATTCTTAATTCAGAGGTGTTGGCTCAGAGCTGCTCTGAATCGCAGGTGTGATTGCAAACCCAGGGAGTTGGCATTCACTGTGTGAAAGGGAAAGGTCACCGGTTCGGTCATGCTCAAATGACACCCAGCAAGAGGAATGCATGTAACTCGTGCAAGGGCAGCCCAGGCCCCCACGGTTCTGTGGCCAGCACTGTAATGAGACACAGGAATAGACATTCTGTCCTCAGGACTCGGAACAGTGGAGCTTTAGCTCTCAGTCCGTGTCTCACTGATTCCCAGCAATAGTTTATGTGAAGTCAATTAATTATTCTCTCATTCATCTAGACTTTTAACATGTGGAGGCAAACCAGAGACGAGACCGCGTGTGCCAAATGTCCCTTTCTGAGACTCCTGGGGCTCTGGTTTACAAATCAGCTTTGGAAAGTCTAAATTTAGACTCACCTCCCGCCTGCTCAGATCCTCTCAAACCTCAGCAGGAACTATCGTCCCCAGCAAGGTGTTGACATTTCACAGATGCTTTCTTCCCCTCCTGAACACCCCCAAATATGCAGGAAATCCTTCTCCTGCGGCGGATGCTTACAGTTGAACAGGCTACGCACCGTACAATTCTAGGTGGCATCGTTCATATTACAGTCCGGTCTGACTGACTCCAAGGCTTGTGATTCTAATTTGTCACTGTAGTCTATGTGAATGAAGTCCTCTAGACTAGAGATCAGCAAACTTTTTCTATAACGGGCCAGAGAATAAATACTTTGATGTTTGTAGGACATATAGCTTGTGTTGCCACTGCTCAACACAACTAAGCAATTTTGCCTTTATAGCACAAAAGCAGCCACAGACAATATCTGAACAAATGGGCATGGCTGCATTTCAATAAAACTTTATTTATAAAAACAGGTGGTGGGCCGGATTAGGCCTATGGGCTATAGTTTGTGACCCCTGCCCTAGACTTAATGGGAACATCCTCCAGCTCCTTCACAAGATGGCACTGAAATGTGTTGGAAGCCAGGTCCCTTTGTGGCTGGCTCCTCCGGCACTGCACTGTCACTGTCCTCTTGGACTCAGTCTTCCTGTTGCCCCACATGGTAGCACTCTCCTAGGAGGGCTTAACCTCCTTAACCTTAGTTAAGCTCAACTGACAATTTTATGTCCTCAGGGCCCAGCTCTCTGCTTTCCAAAAGTTACCTAATCTAAAGGTCCCTTCTAGCTCTGTGGTATGGTCCATGTGCCTGACTCCTAAACCCCACCTGCATTCGAACAGAGGCTTTCTGGAGAGATGGCAAAGATGACATGATGATGGGACAACTACACGTATTGAGGGTCTACCAGGGAGACTTTACCTGATCATTTCAGCTGGGTCTCACGACAACCTATGAGGTTGATGTCATTCTCCCACGAGGCTCCCAGAGGGAAGTGATTTGCCCAGAGTCACTCTCTGGGATGTGAATCTGGGATGTTAACTCAGGTTGGTCTGACTCCAAAGCTTACTCTCATATCACTGTAACACGTTATCTTAGCGCAAATGAGTGACTCTTGCCATGAACCATCTAGGCCCAATGTGAAGGAAAACTCTGGGGCAGGCACGCCCTGTGGTACTTGTCAAATTAAAGCAGGAGGCAGCCGCCTTTTCAGTCTGAGTTCAACCTCAGCCAGCATGGAGGCCATAGTTTGTAAGCCCATTCTATGGAAAGAGAAACTGAGAAATAGAATGTTGAAATGAGATTGAGAGTTGAGGGGGGTGGGTAGAGGTCCCGAGTAGCATCGCCTGTAGCTGACGCTGTGGCCACCTACCTAGGAAACATTCCTGCTTCCTCCTCAGGAACAGAAACCAGGCCTGGTTCAGCCATCAGACTGCTGAGCCCAACTCCCCACAAGGTCCCATGCTCTTTTTTTTTTTTTTTTTTTTTTTTTTTTTTGAGACAGAGTCTTATTTGTTGCACAGGCTAGAGTGAGTGCCGTGGCATCAGCCTAGCTCACAGCAACCTCAAACTCCTGGGCTCAAGCAATCCTCCTGCCTCAGCCTCCCGAGTAGCTGGGACTACAGGCATGCGCCACCACGCCCGGCTAATTATATATATATATATTAGTTGGCCAATTAATTTCTTTCTATTTATAGTAGAGACGGGGTCTTGCTCTTGCTCAGGCTGGTTTCGAACTCCTGACCTCGAGCAATCCGCCCGCCTCGGCCTCCCAGAGTGCTAGGATTACAGGCTTGAGCCACCGCGCCCGGCCTGTCCCGTGCTCTTTAGACTCACATTTGGTCTAAACCAGGTCTCCGACTTCAGCACTATGGACATCTTGAGCCAGATAACTCCTAGCTGTGGGACTTCCCTGTGCCCTGCAGGGTATTTAGCCGTGTCCCTGGCCTCTATCCCCAGATGCCAGGAGCACCCCCAAGTTGTGACAATCAAAAGTGTCTCCCAACACTGACAACTGCCACTTGTGGGCAAGGCACAGAATCACCTCCAGTTGAGAACCACGGGTCTAAATCAGTTTTCCACAGGGACGGTATTGGCGTTTGAGCAGAATAGCCAGGCGCCTGTGACTCACGGTCTCTAGTGAGATTTCAGAGAAGCTGTTGACCAGGCTGCAGT